GTCCCCCTACACACCCACACCCTGCCCCACATACTGGGGGTGGGATCAGTGGGTTAGGAGTGAAGAGCACAGGCAGGGCAAGGTGGCTGTTTTCTACTTAAACTATTTACTGGGTCAGGACTGGCAATTGATGTTTACAAATGGGTCCTGGTACAAAAAAGGTTGAGAACCACTGGTCTATCCTATACCAGCTGCTATGTTAGGAAGCCTTCCTTCTGCAGTGGGAGTAGGGAACTTTATCTTTGTGTCCCTGGAAGGCAGTGACCTGAAGTACAAGCATGTGCAGTATGTGGAGAGATGGTTATATGGGAAACTCCCTCTGCCCTTTAACTTTAACTTTCCCTTTCTCTCCTTTCATTAGTTCAGAGCAGTACTTCAAGCAGCTGAGTAATGACTTGGAAGTTTATACCAAGCATGCTGGAAGGAAGACAGTGGAGACAGCTGACCTGGAACTCCTCATGAGAAGGTAGAGTGGCATAGAGCAAATTCCAGTAGTTACGTGATGTGGAAGCCCAAGTAGTTTTCTCATCTGAACATTTCAAAGCCTCTTCTGCTTCTGGGCTCCTGAAAGTTGGGTAGCTCTAAGGCCACATCATTATTCCCCATTTCTTCCCCTGCTTCACCTTCTCCCACCCAGTCTGCTTGATGATGAGCACCATGCCCAATGCTTAGGCCACTCAGGGGATTCTCCAAGTATGAGATCTTCTTCCAGATTACACACCTACTTCCCCTGTGTCCTGAGGAACCTGAGCAATCTTGCTCCAGATTCCTGCCTGGCTGGCTTCCAGGTATGCTGGATATAGTGTGGGCAGGCTGAGTGTCCCTGGAGCGACAAGATGTCAGTGGCCAACTCTCGAGATTCTGCATGTTTACATTTCAGGGCATGTTTTTGTGTCTTTGCCTCTTTGTGTGCTCAGCCTTAGTTCAAGAGCTCTTACTGGCTCGTAATGGGTGGGGGGTGGGAGGATTGAAGTGATCAACAGAATCACTTCTTCCTTCCTAAGACCTGTGGGACATCGCTCTGGCCAGTTAGCTATGTCCTACCTAGTAAAAAAACACATGGCCTCTTGATCATGCCAGAGAGTGGATCAGAAAACACAAAATACTTCTGAGTAATAAATGACTTGTAGGAATTAGTTCGGATTGGAAATCTTTGCTTGCTTGTTGACTCTAAGGGCTAGTCTAAAAGGGAAATCCATTCCAGGATAAGGCAGATTTTACACTTGAAAGAAAATTACTAGAGGTGCACAGCACCAATATATCGGTGACCTATTGGATTGGCACCGATTTAAAAGGAAAATTCACTTTATTGGCTTTGTTTGGCCAGTGTAGCCAATAATGTCACTGATAAATACAATATGTCTTCTGGCCAGGCCCCTGAATGCCATGTGCAGCTGCATGCATGCATGTGGCCAGGAGTGCAGCCAGGCAGTGTGGAGAGCAGTGCCCTGCAGGTAAGTCTGTAGAGGAGAAGGGGTGTGGGGGATGCAGATCAAGGCATCCATGGTGAGGGAGGGAGTAGGGCTGGGAGCATTGCCCAGCCAAGGCAATGAAGGCATTGCCCACCCAGAGGCCAGGGTGGGGAGCAGGATGGATCAGTGGGCAGTTCATCCAGGGGATGTGGGTGGGGGAGGGAAGGGGAGGCAGCTCCCTGCCACTGCATGCACCCCCAGGGGAGGCACATGCCCCCTAGATTTGTGTGCAGGGCAGAGGCAGGCTGCCCACTGTGGGCTTGGGGTTCTCTGCCCTGCTGCCTTTGTCCTGGAAGCCACGTGCTGGCTGTGTGCCTCCCTCAGCTGGAAAGGTAGGGGATGCAACTTGCTACTGCTACTGCTGCTGGACGGGCAGGGGATGCAGTGTGGCCAGCATGGGCCTCCCAGGGCAAAGGCAGCAGAGCAGAGAGCCCCAAGCCCACAGCAGGCAGCCCTCCTCCAACCTCACCCCACTTGGCTATTCTCCAGTTAGAAGCATCCCTGTACTTAAAGATGGTGGTGGCAGCGCTTGAACAAAAGCTCATTCCATGAGCTTTCGTTCAAGTGCCCCCGCCACCACTTTTAAGCACCAGAACACTTGATCCTTTGGATGAGTCACTTGTAGCTCTGTCCTGCCCCAGCTCAACTCTCCACACTGCCTGGCTGTGCTCCTGTAAATTGGTTATTGGATCGGTATTGGCCAATTAGACACAGTGAATAATCGGCTATCGGTATTGGCCAAGAAAATCTTTACTAGTACACCCCTAAAAAATACCTCTTCTGGAGTAGGTGCCCTAGCAGATGTCGTTTTCCTAGAATAAGAAGGTCTACCCAGGGAGCTATGCCATAATAACTATTCCATTCAATTTCCATGTAGACAGGTCCTGAAAATGTGCATTTCTGATGCATGCTTGACTGCTTTACCTGTAGGGTGCAAGTACCCCCATGAAGGCAGCTGTGTGGATTTGTATTTCAGATATCAAGAGTAAAAAATGGCTTCCTTAAGCATTCCCCAAGCAATTCTGTGTACCGCATTCTGAGTCTGGGTGGGTGGAAACACTGTTTTCTTTACAGGAACCTTGCATATTTGTTTTACTTTCTCTCCCTCTCCTCTTCAATTCAAGACAAGGGCTGGTGACAGACAAGATGCCCCTCAATGTGCTGATAGAGCGCCACCTTCCTCTGGAATATAGGAAGCTACTGATCCCCATTGCCACAAGTGGAAATAAAGTGATCCCTTCCAAAAGATGTGCACTGCCTGCAGTGTCACACAGATAGAAACACTGCAAACCAGGAGAGACTGACTTACACTGTTCGATAGTGACAGTTTGTTTGCCTCAGCATGGTGGTGTTAGTGCCATTCTGGGTTTCTAAAGGTTACTGACCAGCCACCTGAGGTTGTTCTCTTTTAAGTTGACTCACAGAAGTCTGTAAAGTCACCACACCAGTTTGTTATTATTCAAACTGGTCTCCTAAAAATGAACAGTGAAGACCTGCTGTTTTAAATAACTTCCTTTTCCTGCATTTATGTTCCAGCACATCCCTGGAAAGCCATGTCTGTTAGTGTATAAATGTAAATAAACAGTGGTGCATGTTTTGTAGAGTGTACATGGTGTTTGTTGCCATGATCATGTGGTCTCTGTATGTGTTCCATTCTGTTGGTGCACCGTACATAATGTTCCTAGCAATTTTTTTAGCTGTGCTGATGTTCTTCAGTGTAATGGCCTGCCTGCTGGAAGAAGAGGCAATGTTCTATGCTGGAATCTGTGACCTGTACCTTAGTGCTCTGCTTGCCAACACGTCTGTATATGCTTGAAAGAATTGAGCAATAATCACTGGCTCTGATTATGCCTCCACTGATTTCTCAAACACAATGAGAACCCTGCTTTATTTTGAATATGGAGCATAGAACACCTCACTGGGTTGCTGGCCTTGGATGTCCCCCATACACTTCTAGCTAGGGAGAAACTTCTTCCACTATCTGATCTCCCTAGCAGGGGGAAGAGGGCTGCTTCTAGGAGAGGATGGAGGTTATAGCACTGAAAGACTGGGAAAGGAAGATGCATTACACTGAAGGAAAGGAGTAGGGGCCCAATTCCAACCAGACAGCTGAACCAACATAATCTCTTGCAGCTAGAAGCAACATTTCATGGCAATTTAGAACGTAAGCTGTTTTTTAAGGGTTAAATAGAATCAAGATTTTTAGGGACAGAACTTGACCTTTAATGTTATAGAGATAAGGAGAAGAGGAAATACTCTACATTCTGAATTCCAGATCCTCCTTTTAAACCTACAGTTCTCAAGCCCGTTGTACTGGGGGATGTGTCAAAGCTGTTCTGACTGTTCTCTGTCTTTATATGTCTACTGCTTTCTCTGGTGCGGTGTTAGGTGCTTTCAGTGATGCAGCTTGCACCACTTCCGATAGAGGCTGTGACTGTTCATTCATCAAATGTTTTTGATGTTTGCTCCCCCTCATCTGGTGTTTGTGTTGTACCTGCTTTATAGTTATTTCATGGTGTTTCTAGAGTTCTTTGCATGTAGTTTAAGAACCGGGGGGGGGGGGGGGGGGTGTTGTCCTCAGTCCATAATTGTTTCTTTCTGGCACTGGCCCTTTTTCTACCATGCAGAACTGAATATGGTGTTTCTAGTGTAACTGTGGTGAAGAACATTTTCTATGCAATTCTATCCTATGCCATTTGGCTGTGATGCCTCTGCATCCTATAGACAGTCTGTTTCAAGCTCTCCTTTAGCTAATGCTGTTATCTCGCCAAGAGTAGTCTCCCCCATTTTTCAGCTTTCTTCATTCCTCCCATTTATACTGGTCATTTCAGGGAAGGGAGCAGTCTACCTGTGCTATATTTTCCTAGGGTACCTTGTCTGCTCTACTGTTTAGCAGTTCAGGTTCTAACTGAACAGAGCTGTTTCTTGCCAGAGTTTTCCTGTCCCTGATCCACTTTTTGCTTTAGAAATCTATCTGTCCTCACTGATATTGGGGTCAGGAGGAAGAGCATGACAGTGTTAGAGAGGAAAGACACTAGAAGCTGCTTAAGGACTAATAAATGACTGACTATGCTTGGAGGATGATTAACTTGGGCACAGAATCATCAAAAGTCTTGGTACTGTGTTGCATAGGACAAAGGCTGGCATATCCAGTTATGGGGCTATAGCAAGCCTGCTGTGTGCTATACTTAGGACCCGACTGAATTAATTACAGAAAGGGGCTGCATGGTGGTGCCTTTTAATCTTCTAGGTTCCCCTGTGCCGCCCCCTTGCTGATTTGGCTACAGCGCCCCAGTGGCCCTGCTGCTTGCTGCTGACTGGCCAGCACCGTATTTAAAACCATGGTTTTCACCTTCCTACTGATTAGGAGCGAGTGGTTGGGGCCCCTCTCAATCAGCCAAGGGGGAGGAAATCTGCAAGATTAAAGGAGCTGCTATGCAGCCCTCTTCCACCGTGAATTTGGTAGGTCCCTAGCTATACTGCTATAGCTGTGTCTAGAGGTGCGGGTTTAGTGATGCTGCTTTTTTTTCTCTCTTTTTTTTCCCTCCCCCTGGCTTCACCTAGAGTGCTTTCAACATGACTGACTATACTGGACAAGGCCTGCTTATAGTGGGAGAAGAAAGTTCTCAGGGAAAGATTCACCAAAGTTATTCTAGTGGTTTGTTATTATAAAACTTTCCCTTGCAGACAGCCTTTCCTTTGAAATTTCTTATAGAATCTTGCCTGACTCCTCTAACAAAAAAAAAACCAGGAGAGGGGACTTAAGGAGGCTTGTAGGCTTTAGCAGTTGCTGCACTTAGGCTATTAGTGGAGTGTTTAACTAGAGGTCCCAGCTCACCACTTGGCCCCTTGCCTTTCAACCTGCAGTGGAAGGATGGGCTGCCCCTGCCAGGGCTCCAGACTGGACATCAGGTGAACCTTGCTTTAGTAGGGAGCTGAAATTAAACTATTAATACAGGTATCTTATCTGCCTGAGCTGCCTGTATTGCCAAATACCCAAATCAGTCTAGATTTCTTTGCTGTAACTATCAGCTGGACCCATTTGGGCACAGAAACAACCTTACAGTGCAGTAGCCCAGAGCTGTAACTTTTGTAATGTTACATACCAAAGCGCTTAGCTGAATGTGGGGAGGGTGAAGATCTGTTTAATAATAATCATGGTCTCTTGGTTCTCCCTCTTCTGGTGTTGGTCTGCTTGCCTCCTCAGGTAAGGGGCCTGCTCGCCTTATGTCTCCAGCCAGCAGTTTCTCAATTATTGTCTCCACAGGCAGAGGGACAGCCTGCTCCAACTCTTCTTTTGGGACCTGGTAAGCCAGGTAGATGTAGTTGTCCATTGTCAGGTTGTCAATAGTGGGATCAATTGCATACAAGGCTGTCTTCAGATCATCCACTTTCACCTCTCTGTGTTCAAAACAGATTCCTTTAATAAGGCAGCAGACACTACTGGTTAGCTTATCTACTGATGCAGGCCTGGGAATCCTAACCTGCAGCTCAGAGACCCTTTCCATAGTTCTTACTTTTATCTTATGCTGTAGAGAAACCAAGTGGAAATTAAACATCACCAGGGATGGAATCCCACTGACTAATTACCCAAACCCTGTGTACTTGGGGGTTATGCTGGACTGACCAGTTACCTTCAAAGCACATTTAGAGAAGGCAAAAGGGAAAGTCAGTGCCCACAGTAACACTTTGAAAACTGCTCACCTCAAAGTGAACCAGCTATTGTAAAAATTACTTGTATTTCCTTGTGTTCAGCTGCAGAACATTCATGTCCAGTATGGGAACAATCAGCTTGTGCCAAGAACCTAGGATCAGTTCTAAATGACAGATGTCATGAAATAACAGGATGTCTAAAGCCAACACTAAAAGATAGCCTGTATTTACTGGCTGGCATTGTACCACCTGATATCAGAAGAAATATAGTGAGCCAAAAAGAAAGACTGCAGCAGATGGAAGACCCCAGGCATCAATTCAGTGGTCACAAGTAACTAAATGTTTTAAAACATGAAAGAGTTTTGTGACCAGTATTGCACCGTTAAACATGAAGGTTGACAGGGCATAACTGATGTTATAGACGGAAAGATTACATGCAATCAGGTGCTGTGGAAATAGATCTGGAACCCCTGGAGGATCTTCCCAGAGGGGCTGATCTAGGCTGGCCAATATGGCCATGCCTGAATCACCTGCGCATGCAAACCTGAAGTTCAAAAACAAACATGATCAAATGATGCTACTCTAATGACATGAATATATGCGAGTACAGTGAAGTGCAGACTACGAAGCACCTGCTTGTTTGCTGACTCCTTGGTGAGACCTGTATGAAAGAGGACCTTGCTGCAGAAATAGAAAGAGCCATTGCTTGTGCATGGTTCTGGAAAAACATCTTGTTTTTGGCAAGGACACAAGAAGAAAATGATGACCTTTGGCTGCTTCCATATTCTGTGTCCTTTTCAGAAATGCAAAAATCTAGAACTCTTGGTTCAGAGATGATACCTTTTTATTAGACCAGCTGAGAAACTGCAAAAAAACCCTATATTTTTCTGCAAGCTTTTGGGCTCGCATGCCTTTCATCAGGCTCAGGGAAAGTTAAAGTTTTACCTTTTAAAGATTACCACCTTTAACTTTCCTTGAACCTGAAGGGTGTGTGAACCCAAAATCTTGCAGAAAAATATATATTTTTTGCAATTTCTCATTTGGTCTAATAAAAGGTCTCTCTGAACCAAGAGTTCTAGATTTTTGCATTTTGTCTCACACCAACATAGCTACCAAAAACATCCCTTTTTCTTTTGAGACACTTGTGCAAGCTTAATGTTTAATATGCTTAGAAGCCAAGCACTCCAAAAGCTGGATGGCAGAATTTGGTATGGCTAACTAGTCTTAATTGCCCCTGTCCCTTTTTGCATCTGCACTGTGATGTGACTATTAATGTCATACTCATATTATTTTCCCCAAAGAAACCTGCTTTTCTTGGATAGGATGGACAGTACTCGGTTCCTAGACAAACACAATTTTGTGTTATCCTTGTCGGACAGTGGGTGGCCAAAGGCCCCCTTTACTGCCTGCTGCTCTGAAACTGGAATTAATTTCCTCAGATACTTTTTGTGTGGTAGTCAGGCCAAGTGCTTCACACTGTAGTGATACCTTTATAATTTTTATGCTTTTCACACACACCCTATGGCATAAGTCATCTTGCAGGCAGGGGAACCGAGGCAGAGAAAGGTAAAAGCTAGGAGCATCTGCTAGTTTTAGGTGCCCAGTTCTGAGGTACCTTGGCTAGTTTTTCACAGTATTTGGCATTATAGACCTCTCTGTGGTCAAACCTCGGTGTCCTTGGCTTCAGCCACAGTTGTGAATGCTTAGTTCTTCGACAAATCAGATCTAAGGATCCTAAGTGGGGCACCCAGCATGCAGAACACACAACTGCTGCCTACATGAGGAAAGTGTTTTAAGTGACTTGCCTAGTGTTTACAAGGGAACCTTCTGGGGCAGAGGCAGGGACAGAATTCAGTTCTGCCCAGCAGTCTGCAACTGCTGTAAGTGCAGGGGTTCTAGGGACAACAGTCTTTTCTCACTGAGTGGCTTGGTTTCATCCCCAGACCACATCCCTTTATGTACACTGAATGCCACAGGCTGGGGTCCTGTAGAAGAAAATAACATGTCAGTGTGTAATTAAGGTGTGTGCACAAGGTGACCAAATTAAATTCTCTGTTCTGGCATTTCCTAGCTTTTGAATAGGTCTTCATGGCCTGTGCGCCAGTTGTTACTGACCAGGAGTATACTGTCCTCTGGATCACAGCGGTCTGCAGTAATTGTTTACAATATTAAGCCACTTCAAATGAAAAACTTTTGAAAACAGAAGAGCGAGTCCCATTTCCCTACTGGAGGGAAGATCATTAAGCAGCACCCTTGTGTGCTCCAGTGTGCTGCTGTGAATGTGCTACGAGCACAGGCTTGATCAGAGTGGTTCCTGCTACTGCCAGCCTCCACCAGAAAATGCATCTTGCGTGTGACCCAAAATAAAATTGGAGTTACATATCCCGGTTTACACAGACACACCAAAGGGTGCAGGGGTATGTGGAGCAGGGTGAGCGGATAGAAGCTATGTGCTCCTTATCAGTCATCCCACACATTTGCAATCAGGAGCGTTCTCCTGAAGGTTGCAGTGGTACCTTTGGTTGGGCAGGGCCAGCTGTGACAGCTGCCTTCTTGCCCTGCTAGTCTGACTGCCTGCCCTAACACCCTTGTCTGTCTCATCCAGTTGCTGCATCTTGCCTTTAAAACTGTGAGCCTTTTGAGGCAGAGGCTGTTGCTTATGTTAGTAATGTTTCTCACACAGTGGAGCTTAGCCTTGTTGCGATCACTGGATCTTACTGCCATGTGGCCTCTGGGTTGTGCTGTTTGTTGCCAAAGCTGGCTCAGTCTTTGCTCCTTCCCTCCCTCTGAGGTGCTCTCTTTACTTGCACACCCTGGCTCCCTTCCAGGCAGGAGCTCCCACCCCAAGGTTCTCCCCAAATAAAACAGCAGTGATGTTGGACTCAACGGCTGCAACACTTACATGACATGTGCCAGCTCATTCTGTAGCTCTCTCAGATAGTCCTGCTTCTCGGTAACGTACTGGTTCCAGACCTTCACAACAAAGGGCTCAGTGTTCCCCTCTGCATCCTTCAAAAGACCAGAGCCCATTAGTACTGGACTATGGCTCTCATGCACTGCTCTACTCCAAGCCCCAGGTGGATGTAAGCAGCCACACTGCCATGGGTATACGGAAGACCTTGGAAAGGGAGATACTTAATGCACTGGTGGAGCATCCTTTCTGCAAGCAGGACCTGTTCAGTTAGCTCTCCACCTGGCAGAGCCAACCACTCAGAGTAACGTTAGCAAAAGTTCTTGGCACATCTGTGCATTGGCAGAAAGACCAAGGCTCCAACAGAATCATGCACTTAGTTCACATAGCTATGTTGGGCAGAAGCTCTCTAAGCACTGCTGAAGTACTAATGAATGAAACCTCTTTATGCTCTAGGGCAGCAGAAAGCAGCATCCCTGCTACCCAGAAGACAGAAACTAGGGTGAGACTCTGACAGAGGCAGAAGCAGAACTCTGGATCTTAGGCTGTCCTTGTCCTTGGGAATGTAAGCTGCTTCAGAACTGCATTTCAGGCAAGCTCTGAGCCCAAGCAAATACTCAGGACAAACTGACATCTAAGTTAGCTTACAGCTCAAACCAGCAGCTTTTGGTAAAAAAATTTCCCTTCGCCCATTTGTTTCTCAAATCTACATCTAGGTGTACCATGTACTTGCAAACAAGAGGGCCACTGGTATATACAGCTGTCAACATCCATGTTTTCTTATGTCTTTATTTAAAACTGAAGAATGGCTGTGCCAGCAGCATCAGCCTTGGCTTCTGCTACATTAAGGCAGATTACCAGCAAAAACCTGCTTCTAAACCTGCTTTTGCTTTGTTCTGATGAACACGGGCCTGGGAGGCATTTGTCAAAATTAATATAAACATTTAAGCCTTAGAAACACATATCACATGTGCTCCTCCCAGGGTTTGTTGGAGGGGCTCATAACAGTTGTCACATTGCTCCCAAAGGGGTTGGAATATAGATTCTGTAGTTGGTTTCCATCCCCCATGATCTTAGCTAGTCACCATATTCCAGAAGGTATAAACAAACCCCAAACAACTTTACACAGGGTGCATTTACAGGTGCACTTTAATGTGCAGTAGACTATTTTACTGCGCATTACAGCATCACATAAAAACTGACATTAGGCTAACGCACAGTACAACAGTACTGCGCACTGTCACTAAAAAAGCATGCAAACATGCTACTGCACATTAGCACAGCCTAATGCGCATGAATATAGTACCTCACATTGGAGGTGCTAAATTTAATGCGCATTAGAAACGGTGCATTGGCATATATAGACACATCCACAGTCAGCAGAATCCTTTACTTCTTGACTCAATGCTTGTGAAGTCCTCACTAGTTCTCCAGGCACCAGTAAGTCCCTCAGGAAAGACAAGGCCTACAGTTATAATGAGAAAAGCCAAGATGAAAAAAGCCTCAAGGCCTTCTTTTCCCATCACATTTCGGAATGGACCCAAGCCTCTGCAGGCTGCCTTTAGGACATACCTACTCCAGTGGTGACCCCAGTTACATTAGTCCAAAGCAAAATGCTTGCATTGCAACCATTCTTCCTTCACTGGTGAAACCTCAGAGTGAGAATTTGCAGCTCACCTCATTGAATAAAGCTGTGTAGAATATGAGGTCCTCAGTGCTCTCTGCCTTGCACTTGCTGGCTTCTATTAGTTCTTGGATGTGCTCATTACTTTTCAGTGGAAAAGCTGCCCTCAGTGCCAGACTGTATCAAGAGACAGGATCATCACCAGTTAGTTATGTCTGTTGCTGTAGACATGTGCACAGAGCACTTATCCCCTCCAATGCCACATGGCCATCTGTGGTAGCACCCACACTTGCCACTATTCCTGGCGGCAGATTTTCAAGAGGTTGGCATTTGTGAGCAGGGCCTGATTTCTATTCAGGCACCAAAATAATGTGTATTTTCAGCAAGAACTGAGCACCTTGGAGTTATATTGGATGCTGATATCTTGCAATTCTGGCTTCAGCTGCGAATGCTGATGGTCTGACAGTGCCCCCATAAAACCAACAGCTCTGTAACAATGTGTGTAACACTGCACACATTTTCTCCTGAAGGGTTACATCTATTCCACTTAGATGGCTATGGGACATCTCCAAGGGAACCTCTTGTCACCTGACAGTTACCACTTGCTACAGCATGGTTGCTTGACTGGAAAAAATACCCCTAGAGCAAAAGTGCTTTGCAACCACAATCAGGGCTAGGTTTCCAAAAAGCTGAGACTCAGTTAGGTATCCAATTAACTGTCCAGACCTTAACACCTCTCAGTACAATGGAAACAAGGAGGTGTGCTGAATGCTTCTGAAAGTCTGCTGCCAACTGTAGGCATGGGCACCTGGAAGTGTGGTTTGGAGTTTTTCAAAAATCATATCCCTCATGGAGACTCATACTGTCACCACTAGGATACTGCATGGTGTTCAGGCTAGGGTAAGCTTGATTCTTATACAGAGGTGTGTATGTAAAGGTAAAGGCTAGATTCTGCCCTCAGAGTGGTATTTGTACACAACTGTCTGTGGGAAGAAGCTCTAGAAGGAGAAATGAAAATTGCTCCTAGTGATCTGCGTCCTCTGTCAGCACAGTGCATATGCCAGAGACTTAGGCCATGAGTAGAACAGTATAAAAGTACAGCAGGGCTCAAACAGAAGTAGTTCACCCAGCCCACTGGTCTCTCACTTGAACTGTTTACTGGTAAGAGCTCCGCTGTTTGAGCTGTCTATTGCAGTCAGCTCCTTTAGCAAGTTGGATAGCATCTGGTTCAGGCCATGGTACACGCCTTCATCCACCTGTGGGAAAGCAAGGGTTGGGACTCAATACAAACACCAGCTTCCACCTCTGGACTATCTTCAGGATGCAGAATCAAGGACAAGGCAGTAAAGGGAAGGTGGACCATGACTTCTGCTGGCACCACATAGAGACAGCCTTCCTCTATAACATCTTCAATCTCAGCATTTTCAAGTGACTTACAAATAGTTAAGAATGCTGCGTCATGCCTCACCAAGATGTTGTTAAAATAATTAGTTGCAGAACACCCCCCTGTTCCAAAGTGGTTCACATCCCATAACATGCAGGTCCAACAATGTCCAACCCATGCTGGGGTGGGCAATGGTAACATAACCAGCACGCAGTACAGCACAATGCTGGCATGCTGGCCAAGGGCACTGCAGCAAACCTTCACTCTAATGAAAGCTGACTGGAGCTCTGCTTTTAAGACCTCATGTGAGAGGCCCACATGAAGTGAATATGTGTAACTCGGCTTCCTGGCCAGGGAAGGATAGAGGCCTTTGCTGGACTGGATGTTGCATGGTAACCATGTCTGACCTCCATTTTTGATCAGGGCACATATAACTTCAAACATGCTGGTTCTGTATATTATCAAGAGCAGCTGCAGGTACAGGATAACAGTGCAACAGTGTGAAGAGCCTAAGAGCTCTGAGAAGTAAAGCCTGAGGCATCCTGAAAGGTAGTAATACTTCTAGCACCTACAGAGTTGAGAGGCAGCAAAGGAGCTGGGCCCCTGAATTCCAAGCAACACTAGTAGGGAGTTATGGCTTGTAGCAGGGGAAGGGTCCATGTGTTTGGAATTTCCAGGGTGACCCACCAAAGTGAACGGAGTTGTAACAACATAACTGAGCCAAATACGGAGTCTGACTGCCTAGATAGGAGAGGTATGATGGAATCAGGGCACCTAAGAGAAGAGAGGCTGGCAGTAACAGCCTGGCCGTGTGTCTCGCACTGTAACATAGGACATGGTTGCTCTCTGGCACCTGTTACTGATATTTACTTCTCCCCCCATCCCTAGTCTGATCCCACAAAGTACTGAGTGTCCTCAACCCCACCACTTTGCATGAGATATGGGGGTGCTCAGCTCCCTACAGGACTGGTCTCCCATTGACCGCTGTCTCACATTCAAGGGAGTCATGCAGGTGCCAGAGCTGCTCACCTTTCCAGTCAGTATTTCATAGGACAAACTCATGATATGATTTGATCGATACAGCTTAATACTTTCATAGATGCTGTAAGCCATCTCGAAGGCAGAGGCATCTCCATACCTCTTTTGGAGGTAGCTAAGGAAGAACTCAGGAAGGCTGGATTGCCCCCCTATCTGTAAAAAAAAAAAAAAAGTGAAAGCTCCAGAAACCAATGTGAGGCCGTTGGAGCTTGATCTCTTCAGAAATGCACAAGAAGAACCAAACCACCTTCCCTCTCCTGTGCTCATCCGCATATAGGCAGAGCACCGTAACTCCAGCATTTTCCTGGGTCTGGAAAGTGTCTGTCACGCCTCACACCTCAACAAAAGAGAGCTTCCCAGCCACTTTCCAGATGGGGCTGAGCCCTAAATCTCCCATTGCTTCTTCCCCACTCTTACTCTGGTAGGGTTCTCCATGTCCCTGTTGAAACATGTTTTCTCCCCACTCTACTTCCCAACTTCTGCCAGCACATTTGGGCACTGATCTGATGGTCAGATACACAAGGGATAGGATTTCCTTCAGAGTCCACCTGTGCCACACCAAAATCTGAGTACAAACCTATACAACACAGCCAGACCCTGCTGGACAAGTGAGGAGAACTGAGCCAGGTCTTTGTGTAATAGCAGAGCACCTTGACAGGGTCACTCTAAAAATGTCTGATCTGTGCTACTGACTGCAGTTATGCTTGTAGCTTTCCCACAGCCCCCAAACCTGTACTGGGGTGTGTTTTATGCCTATTAGGCCTGTGAGAATGGTTGGCACAACAGCAGGGCAGCAGGACACTGCACAATCATCCTGGTGTCCTTGTTTTTTAGGTGCCATCACTCCCCACATCAGAGCCAAACAGGTCACCCCAGCAGTGGCCCTGGGCCTTGCGGCTGGAGGACAGACTCCTACAACCTCCTCTACTGATGTGTTCAGGAAGAAACATTAATGGACTTTCCAGATGGCAGGATTGTCACAGGAACTATGAGAATAGTGTCATGTGGTTGTTAGTGGTGGGATAAGGGGGAAAAGAAAACCTGCTGGTGTGCTGAGATTCTCTCTTTCCACAGGTCCTTCAAGATGTTCACTACAGTCTTTTTGTTGAGCTTCCTGTTCTTGACCTGACCTTCATACCTCAGGTACACAGGAACCTTGTCACCCTTGCCCTAAATAACACAAAAGAGATAGACACATCAAGAATTTGTATCAAATGGAGTATTTGTATCAAATGGAGCCAGCAAAGAACCCATGTACACAGAATACAAGAGCTAGGGCTCATTTGTGAGTAATTTTCTGAGGTATAAGCCACCTGAATTCTCTCATCCCAATAGCTTGCGTTAATTGCTGTGGTTTCACTTCTAATGGGAGTATTTAAGTATTTAAGTTTGTGTTATGCAAGTGGCCTGTTTCCCCTGAAGAAGAACTTTCCAGAACTGCTGCTTCAGCCATGGAAGCAGCTTTGGAATTTCAAAAAGGAACGGTCTTCCCTACTTGGCTAGCAGGCGGATGTGTATTACCAACTAATCATGGGAGAAAAGTGCTGCCTATTTGCCACAAGCAGCTTGTCTGTACCAGCCCAGGGAAGATGTCCTTCTCTCTCAGAACTGCTGCTCCCATTTCCTCCAGAAGCAAGTCCACCAGCTGGTTACTGGTCTTCCCCTCTGCCAGAAATCTCCACCGGTCCACACCACCAGGAACAACTCCTGCAGGAATAGAAACAAACAGCTCACCAGCATGCCACAAGTTGAGCATGAAGTTGAACATGAACATACACCAGAACCCAGATCATTCACATCCAGGTGATCCACAACCCACAATCTGTGGGGCAGAGCTGTACTGCTACCCAGCACATCCACAGGTGGCAGATAGTGGAATGACCTTCAGGGAAGGTTAGCTGTGAAATAAGCAGGAGTAACTCTGATGAATAAGCAGTCGCAGACTAAGCAGAGGCAGCAGGAGGTGGAAACATATCCTTTGATGGATATCCTTTGATGGTGCTGTGACATGCAAGTACAGGTCATCACTATAATAAGCATGCCTAGCCCCCAACCTTACGTCTACAAGTCCTCAATGGTTAAGCAGGCAGAAGAAGATGTTAAAAACTCAATGGATGCAAAGGCAGATCAAAGCTACAGTGGACCAAGATCCTCAGGTGTCTTGGTCTCCTTGCCACTGGATCAAGGTCCCTGTATCAGGGCAATCTTGGGCCCTGTTATGGTCCGGAGCCTTACCAGACCCAGACATGCTGGGGGACCTACCAGGAGATGAAGTACCAGCGGCGGGGCAGAGGGAGCTGAGATGATGACATCTGGGGAGGACATGGCAGCCTCCATGGCCAACATGTGGAAGAGCCAAGTCATGGGATCCCAGAGCCGGCTCCTATTGGCCAGTAGGAGCCCAGCCATAAGATAAGGCGGTGCCAACCCTAGAGAAGCTTCCCTGGAAGGTATCAGTTGACTGATTAAACTGCTGGCTCATGTTCAACAACAATGGGAGAATGTCAGCAGTGTGTGGGGTGCCCTCAAGGCCACCATCATCAGTGCCTGTAAAGAGGCACTTGGATTCTCTGCTGGGAAATATCAAGACTGGTTTGATGAGAATGACTGGGAGATCCAAGAGTTGATCAATCGCAAGTACAAGGCCTTTTGTGCTTGGCAAAATGACACCATCTACAAGCAAAAGAAATTGAATCTCCAGTAAGCCAAGGCAGAGGTTCAAAGGAGGACCTGCAATTTGAAGAACAGATGGTGGGAAGACAAGGCTAAGGAGATTCAACATCTTGCTGACAGCCATGATATGTGCAATTTCTTCAGTGCCACCAAAGCCATCTACTGTCCAAGCACTCAGGGCCCAACCCATTTAAGATCTAAGGATGGAGAAGACCTGGTCAAAAAAACAGGTATTGATGGCTCCTTCCAACAGGAGCCATCAATACATATTGGAAGGAGTATTTTGAAGACCTTCTCAATCTAGACTCCATTGTTGACAAGAATGTTCTCAAGTCCATCCACAACACCCAGTCAGAGATGATCTTGGAATCCTTCCAACCCTTGTTGAGGTGAGGAAAGCCATCAAACAAATGAAGAATGAGAAGTCATGTGAAGTGGATGGAATCCCCATGCAAATCTTCAAGTGCAGGGAGAGGAACTCACATCACAGCTTCATGCCCTCATCTTGAGGAACCCAAATGATGAGGAAATCCCAGACGACCTCAGGGATGCCATAACTGTGACAATCTTCAAGAAAGGAGACAAGCCCAACTGTGGAAACTATAGAGGGATTGCCTTGCTGTCCACCACAGGAAAGATCATTGTGAGAACCCTCGTGAATTGTCTCCTTCCACTTGCTGAAGAGCTCCTCCTGGAATATCAGTGTGGGTTTAGGGTATCAAGAGGCACAACTGACATGATATTCACAGCTCGCCAGCTGCAGGAGAAATGCTGGGAACAACACAATCCTCTTTACAATGACTTCTTTGACCTCATGAAAGCTTTCAACTCTATCAGCCAAGAACTGTTGTGGAGGATTCTTCTGAAGTATGGATGGCCACCGAAATTAGTCACCATTCTCTACCTGCTCCATGACAGTATGTAAGTGGTGGTTCTCAGTAATGGATCTATCACAGATCCCTTTGAGATTAAAATGGGAGTTAATCAAGGCAGCAGCATCATTCCAGCACTTCTCAGTATTCCTTGCCATGATGCTACACTTGACCACCAACAAGCTTCCAGCCGGAGTGGAACTAAACTATCAAATGGATGGTAAGCTGTGTAACTTCAGCTGACTCGGAGCCAAAACCAAGACAACCCAAACCTCAACCATTGCACTCCAGTATACTGATAACGCTGTAGTGCAGGGCTGGAAAATTATTTGGACCCAAGGGCCACATAGGGAGTTGTGATGATTTGTGCAGGCTGAGTTAGCAACCTCCCTCCAGGCAACAACTCACCCTCCAGGCAACAACTCACCAAAAATCCCTATGGAGCTTTGGGCAGGTAGGGAGCAGTGTTCGGGAGGAGGATGGGTGTGATCTGCTCACTGCATGCCCTGCCAAGTGCAGGGCTGTATGGGGGTGGGGCAAGTGCATGTGTGTATGAGGGCACTGCCTGGGCACTAGGTCCTGGGAGCCAGCTAGGGATGAGGGGAAGGAAGGGGAGGTGTAGGGTGCATGCAGCAAGAGCTCTCCTGGACTGTGGCTGCCCTCATGGCACTCCGCATGGGGCCAAATGATGGGGGCTGCCATGGACTTGGTGCGCTCTGCTGCATTCAGCTTCTGGTGGGGGTTTCCAGTGTGGTTGCAGCCAGACAGATGCTGCTCCCCTTGCCTCCAGATGCTGCTCTGCTCCCCTTGCCTCCAAGGTAGCCCAGAGAAGCTTCCCTCCTGCCTGTCCAGAGCCTTCACTGGAGGTGAGGGGAGCAGAGCAGCACTCACACATCTGCAGCTGCACCAGGAACAGCCCCGCCAGAAGCTGTACAAGCTGGTTGGGCCCCAGGATGGCAGGGCTATTCTGCTTCCCTCACTTCCAGCTGCGGCTCCTGCTCCTGCCTATGCCCTGGCCCCTACTGTGCCACTCTGGGGAGGTGGGGGAGAAGCTTCAGTTGGGCAGCTCCTGCCCCAGTGTGCAGGGCTCCTGTTTCAGCTCCTGGCCACCTTCCACCTGCTCCGCCCATCCACAGGTGGCTGCTCAGGCATGCAGATTGTGTGGAAGGCAGCCAGGAGTTGGAGCTGCAGCCCCATGTGCTGGGGCAGGAGCCACCTGGCTGAAACTCCCCCTTGCTCAGAGTAGCATAGCAGGGTCAGGAGCCATAGATGGAAGTAAGGGAGCAGAACAACCCCACTGGCCTGGGCCCCTGGCCAGCACATGCAGCTTTCAGTGGGGCTGTTCCTGGTGCAGCTACAGCTGGCCAGGTGGTGTTCTGCTTTCCTCGCCTCCAGTGGTGGCTCCTCCTCCCACTCCTGCCCCCACTGCACTGCTCTGGGTGGGTGGGATGGGGAGAAGTTTCAACTGGGCAGCTCCCACTGGAGGCAAAGGGAGCAGAGCAGCACCAGAAACAGCCATGCTGGAAGCTGTGTATGCTAGTTGTGGCCCGGACAGTGGATACGACCAGGAGTGTGGTGCAGGCTGCCTTGGCAGAAGTGTGTGGGGTATGACCCCATGTGGAACGCTGTAGGGGCAGCCACGAGCCAGAGCCAGTCCATTGGTGGACTGTATGCAGCCTGTGAGCTGTATTTTGCCTACGCCTGCTATAGTGTGTGCTCACTTGGAAGCAGACCTTCAGGCAATCATCCATGTCTTTACTGAGGCATACAAGAAAATGGGACTGATGTTTCACATTTGGAAGACTAAGGTCCTCCACCAACAAGCTCCTAATGAACAGTCCCCAGCTCCAGTACTCCATTCCATGGTGAGACTCTGGAGGACGATGAGTATTTTTCATACCTTGAAAGCCATCTCTTGCAGAAGTCTGACATCGACAAAGAAACCCAACATTGCCTCAAATGTACAAGTATAGCCTTTGGACACCTGAGGAAATGGGTATTTGAAGACTGCGATATCAGATCTGAAACCAAGCTCATGGTTTATCAAGCAGTCGTGATCCCCACATTGTTGTATGGAGATGAGACATGGACAATGTATAGGAGACATCTAAAGTTGTTGGAGACGGTACGTCAATGGTACATTGATGCTACCTGCAGAAGATCCTCTGAATCCAGTGGGAAGAGAGATGCACCAATGTTAGCATCCTTCTGCAAGCAAACACCATAAGTATTAAGGTGATGATCATCTAACATCAACTTCGTTGGGCCAGCCATGTCATTTGGATGTCTGACTCCAGACTCCCGAAGCAAGTTCTATTCTCCCAGCTCAGCCAAGGCATACACTCAAGAGGAGGGCAGAGAAAGTGCTTCAGGGACATCCTCAAGGCCAACTTTAAAAAATGTAACATTGATGTCAGCTCATGGGAGACTATCACTCAGGACCACCCCAAATGGAAGAAGAGTCTGCTGCAAGGATCTCAGTACTTCAAAACTTCACAACAATAGGAGATGGAAAAGTGGGACCAGAAGACACAGTGCATCACAGACCAAACCAAGAATTCAGTGCCATCCACCCCACATGGAAACATGTCCAAGCTGCAGGAGAGTCTGTTGATCCCAGATAGGCCTTATCAGCCATCTTAGAACCCAGAGATAAGACAATCATCCTTGACTGTGGGAGATTGCCGAAGAAGATTCACAACCTACTCAGTTCACAATGGGTTGCTGAACTAAGGATAAGCTCACCAGCAGTCCCACACAGCTGATGTGAAAAGTGATGCCCTTTGAAATAAAAACCACAGAAAACATCTGGGGCACCTCAGTGGCCTGCTGCAGATGTCTGCTATGGCTCTGTGCACTTCCAGATGCCTCAAAAACCTTCATCTGGAGAGGGGATAAGGAATTTAACCTTATGAAGTATCCAGGTTCTACTCTATAAGCTCTCTGTGGGTGCCTAGATCCTGCACTAAAATGTACAAGATAAATGGCAACAGAGACCCTCCACTTCTAAGTTCACCTCTTCACTAGAAGTATGGAAGGAAAAATGGGGTTGACTGGCCGCCCAGAGGTTAACAAATCCAGCATCTCACAACACACTGAGATGGGACTCCTCAGAGAGCTTTGTACCTGCACACTTTGCCCAGTCAGGCCGGGGTGTTGAGCTGCGCAAAACTTGCTGGAGTTCATTGTAGAACCGGTTTCGCTCTTCTACAGTCTCTCCATGGACTTCCAGCAGAGTGTCATATTCCTTCTGCAGCTGATCAAAGTCCTTCTGCAGGGTCACTGTCTAAACCAGAATAGCAAGCAGAACAGAGAAAAACCTCAGCTTCTCTCTTATTTAGTCATTTTGCAGGATAAACTTTAGTCCAGAGACAAACAAAGAGCAACTCAGGTGTGCTATGAATAGTCTGCAGCCCTCTAAATAAGAGGTCCATTGCTACTCATCTTTAGAAAGGAGAGGCAGGACAAAGAGGCAATGTGGCCTGTGTTCAGTCCTCCATGTGGCCACCTGAGACAAGCAGAAAATTGTGTGCTGGGGTCTGTAATCTCTCAGGCTAGGGACAGACATTACACATAAACTGGCTTAAATAATCAAAAACTGGTTTAAACCTGTAACAGAGCAGATGTTCAGTGCCCATAAACCACTTTGAAAGTGGGTGAAACTGGTTTGAGATAAACCTGGTTGAATTTAGTATCAGACTTAACTGATTTGGGTCACAGTGGTTTATGCAATGACTGTCCCAGACCCCTTGCTGGTTTAAGATAAATCAGATTCTCCCAGTATCCTGGCATGCTCTCTGGGCTGGGTGGGGCTCTCTGCTCCACAGCAGGGCT